TTGGGTAGCACGTTGTCTCTGAGTCCTGCCATGGGATCTCTCTTCAGACTGTTAAGTCTTTACAAAAGATACCTGCTCTGATACCAAATGTTAGTGGCAGTCTCACCCAAGAGGGGGTGAATTAGGTGAGTTATAAAAATCTTGAGTATTAAAACAGTAAGCTAAATAGAAATAAAGAGCGTAAGTTAAAATGATTTCACCGTAGAGAGTAGACACAGAATTTATACTGGTTCGGTCTCAACCACTTGACCTACGTCCAGTCCTCAGAACACCTCTGAGTATTTCACTAAGTTCCAAGATTAATCGGCTCTTGGTGCCGCATTACAGCAATTGATTCGCCCAATCACTCCCTCTTACTATCTGTCAAGTTACAATCCCACTCAAGAGTTCACACTTTTGAGTTTCACTCAGAAAGCAATTGAAGATGATATGTAGATCTCTCTCACAGAGTAAATAGATGAGAAACACTGAAGCTCTGTACAAGCAAGAATAGAGTATTGAATGCAACTGTAAATTATTAGCAGAAGGTAGCTCGTGTATTCAATTATGTGTATTCAATGCTTCTTCGCGCCTTTTATAGTTGAGGAAGTTTAATAATCGTTAGATAGAAGAGCTTCTAGTCGTTGAGAGTTCAGTTGCGTGTTTTCCCAGTTGCAATGGTTTTTGCCATTAGTGCTTCTGACATGATAGGTTACAGGCTACTAAGCAACCATTGGATAACCGTTGAATTCTTCTTCGTAATCTATAATAATACTTCAATCTAATAAGTATTTATTACAGAGTAAAGATCAGGAGCATAACTGATCAAACGATAAGAATGAACATTCATAGTTTGAAAGTAGAATCAATCAGTTGCTAAATGTATTGAACAAGAACTGGACATCCTTGATCGAAGTAATAATTGATGACTGGTTGATCGATCAAATTATCAATTAATCAAATAGAAGGAATTTGAAATAGGCAAGTTTATTTATCGATAAAGTTATGGATTGATAATTTATTGATCAAGTAATCGATAAATGAAAATAGTGACTTCAGAAAAACATGCAGAGAAAAGGCTCAAGGTCACTTTTGATTTTGAATCCATTAAAATAGAGAATTAAGATAAACAAGAAGATTGAGAAAAGCTCGAAAGGAAATAATCAACATATTTTGAGAATCACGGTAACTTATTGATGTTTAACTAGAAAGAGTCAATAATCGATCAAGTGATCGAAAACTGCTTGATCAATCAAGCTATGGATAAAGCAAAGTGAGATAGAAATAGATTTTCAAGGAACAATGATCGAGTACTTTATCGATAAATAAGTGATGGATAAATTGATCGATAAAAGATCAAGAAAAGTATTCTAAGTGAAACACAGACTGTATAATTTTTTGAATAGATGATTGATTAAGGATTGATCGATCAAGTGATCGATAAAATAATGTCTGAAAGATTTATTTCGCAAAACCAAGAAAGAATTTGATCGATCATGTTATGTAAAAAACATTTTCAGAAGATTGGATGATCAATCACTTCATCGATAATTAGATTATCGATCAAGTGATAAAAAAGGATAACTTAACATAGTAACACAGCAAGATAATGATGATCGATCATTTGATCGATAAACTACTAATCGATCAAGTGATCAATAAAATGCTTTGTCAGCATACTTGAGCAAAACGATAAATAGGTAAGTTATGAAGCAATGACAGAACAAGTTATCGAAAACCTTTGATCAATAATGTGATCGATTAATAGTGATTAAGACAAAATACAAAGTGAGTAGAGAGCTTTACTATTTATCTGTCTTCTCATCGATGATTTATTTATCGATCATGTGATCGATAAATACTTACCAAACTTGTGTCCCAATATCTGACAGTTATTCGATCATTAGATTATCGATAAATTGTTCGATAATTTTCTGTAGGCTTCTATACACAACTGTGTTAACAATGATCGACCAATTGATTGATCAACACATTATCTATCAAGTTATCGATTAATATTTCTGCTAAGTTACTTGTTTGCACAGGAATGTTATCTATCAAGTGATCGATAACCCCTTGATTGATCAGGCGATCGATCAACTTACTAAAACACATATTTCTTAATTTGTTATCGTTAAAACCTTAAATCTAACAAACCTAAACCCTTCCTATCCATTTTGATGAAACTTAGGTAGCACTTCCTCTCAGGAAAATGACTTTCTATCATCATCAAAATAGCATGAAACTACCATATAACTTATAACTTGAAATGGAAGATCAGTTGTAGAAGCTTACCTTGCTTCTAAGTGACTTCCTCTCACTAAAACTCTTCTCTTTCTCTCTCTAAATGAAATTTTGCAAGAGTTTTCCTACTTGAATGGCTTGCACGAAATGAACATGTGGGGGGTATTTGTAGGCTTCATATTTTCATTAATTCTACACATGCTCGTCTTGCATAAAACTTGATCTTGACCTTCCAATTTTTACCTCTTTCCAAATATACAAATCTTAAGCTATGTGGCTTAATATGTTGACACTTGGATAGTGAGTCATTAGGGCTTATGTCATCTCTTCTTATCCATTAAGCTTAATTACGCTTTAATCAACGTTAACTCTCTTGATTTCTTGATTAACTTGACTAATTACCCTTCTAGAAGCTTTTGACTTTTCAAAGATAGATGGTTGAATCCTAGCCATCTAGTTAAACATGTTTGCCATGTGTCAAGATCTTATGGAAGATGACTTAACCATAATCATCTTACTTAACCCTGATTAGATTTTAACCTAACTTGACTATTATTTTCTTTTTCTTTTTCTTTTTATTTTCTTTTTCCCTTTCTTAGCCAATTTGGGCATGACATGTGTCATTGACATTTTGTCAGAAATTTTACCACCTTGGTTGTCCTGACAGTCCACTAAGTCTTATTACAATATTAGTTTATTTTATCTGATAGCCGAAAAATTCTAGTATCTCAAAATTCTTATATCAAATCACCATTAATTATATCTCAGTAAAGGGAACTTTTCTGATTAATTTCATAATTTTCCCCCTATAACTCTTTAAATTGTCGTTTTCGTAAAAATAGACAATCTACCGATATTAATTTAGCTTTAAAGTTGATTAAAGCTAACCTCCTCATTATTCAGGGTTGAAAATAATTTCATAAATCTCCATAATTCCTAAATGAATTTCTTTTAATTTTTCATAATTTTCTGAGATCTCTAGGTATTTTTAATAATTGATATTGTCCAATTTTTCCTAATTTAGCTAAAATATTAATAATTAAAAATAATTTTTAATAAATTATTTTCAACCTGTATTTACTTCCCAGACCTCAAATACTGTTCTACGGCATTAATTCTATTTTTCATGATTTACTGGAAATTTTTAGGATTTTTGGACACTAATTACGATAATGGCCTTTATAGACCAATTATTTCAAAAATGACAATTTGGTCCTTTTCTAATTTTCACTTCAATTGTTGTATTGTTTATCTATCTTTTATCTCACCTGGCCTTGGTTAACCCTAATTCCTTCATTAATTATGTTAAAGATATCAGGGTATGGCATATTTTTCTATTTATGGGTTAGAAATTTTGGGATGTTACAGTAGCCACCTCACTAGTAGCCAATGCTGGAGCTCTAGTGCCAGTGGGTAGTGAAAGGTTCCAAACTTCTTTTAACAAAAAAAACAAAGGAGCATTTTTTTTATTTTTAAAATTCCAATATTTCAGGCTTCTTTATTTAGAATTTTTGCTTAGAAAAATTTGGCCTCGACAACAAAGGAATCATAGGGGTGTTTGGGGGAGGAGAACCAAACTATGATTTTAAAAGTAATTTTATGATATGAATGGTGTGTTTGAATTAACGGTGGTAAAACTAGTTTTTATTTCAACTGAATTTTGCAAACTTAAATGAGAGTAAAAGTCAATTAGGATAATGTGATTTATGTTTTGATTGGATTGAAAAAGTTGAAACTTGTTTGGATAAAAGTAAGAAAGTAAATTTATATATAAAATGATTGAAAAAGATATAAATTTTGTTAACTAATTATGTATATACTATGATAATTTTAAGAGAAATATTAAGATCAAAATTATAAAAATAGTTAATATATTATTGAGAAAAATTAAAAATACTAAATATAAGATCTCAATTTATTTTATTTATAATATTTATCTATTTTGCCCTCAAATAATTCTTATAGTAATTACATTTAATAACAAGTTTTCATTCATGGGTCATTTTAATACACATGATTAATAAAGATATTTTAGGCAAGACAACATTAATTTATTACAAATAACTAACTAAATTAATTTTATTAATATCCTCAAATTAGTTATCTAATTTTTATATTAAGAATATGTAATATCAAATTGTTGGGTTTCTTAGAAGTAATTTTGTCTTTTTCGATTGCTATCTTTTCTTTCCTCACATTGTAATGTTAAAAGCTAAAAAATTGAGCTTCTGCATTGGGCTGCTTTTCACCCAAAACTTCGTTTGCCAAAATGCTAACCCAAACATTTGTTTGAATATTCATTTGCCAGCAACGTATGTTTCCCTCATTCCAATGCATGTTTTTCTCACTAAAATATAGGTATCCTCCTATTAGTGATAATCCTATTTGAGACACTGTCGGGTACTAAATGTGCGCACCTCTCACAGTGAGGACTCAAACCTTGGTTCGCCACATTATGAGAAATTAGCCCCTTCTGCTAGATCCAACCCCTGTTGGTTCCAATGCACATTTTTCATTAAAATATCAATCCAAACATGCTTGAAGTAAGTATGTGAGAAGAGTTTTATTTTAATTTATGTGAAAATGTTTTTAAAAATTGCTTTTTAGATAAATCGAACACCCCATATGTATACAAGATAAAAGGGCAGCGTACTCAACCCAATTGGCCCAATTACATGGAGCCGGCCCATATATCAGGAAATTTCACATTTTAGATGTAGGCCCAAGTGCATTCAGTTGGTGCAAATGCGAGGAACTTGAATTTCCACATTTTAAGATGGTTTTCCTTTTATTATTTCAACCTTCATTCAATATACTGTGGCGCTAAACAATGGAGCCGAGTTCGAATGAATCGAAGGACTCAGATGTGGTGTTAGAAACCCTAAGAACAAGGGGCTGGTGTTTCGGAGACTTGCAGCAAGTGAAGGCTACGATAACCATTCACTACGCTCTAGCCATTGATGCAACGAAGGTGGTTGATTCTGTGGAGTCGGAGCTGTTGAATTTGGACCTTCGATCAATCGGAGGCAAGTCCTTGCCCGAACCTTCTCTTCTTCGCAAGTCTTCTCATCTTCAGGGCCCCAAAGTGCTACAGGCAAATTATTACCCTTATTTCTATTGAACTCTGTCTGTTTGCTTTGGTACAGTGGACGAATCAAATTATGGGATTTCGTGACTTTTAGATACTGTGTGGATTTACTGATGGATGAAAGATATGTATTGGCGTTGCTTCTAATTCCTAATTACGGTTCTTTAGTTGCATTTTCTTAAATGGTAAATCGTACTTCTGATCATAGTTTCCCTCGCTTTTAATATAATTTAGGTCTTATAATTTGGAAACTTGTAATTGAGACCTCATAGTTTACAAGGTTTTAAAGTTAGCTCTTGCTTTTTAAATTTTCAACAGTTTGTTCAATTTTATTGATGTATTACTAGCTATATGTTGTCCTCCTATTCAAAATTTCAATTCCAAATATATACGATTTGTAGTCACAAAAGAGATAAAAGTATAAATAATGAAGCAAAATTAATCTTATATTTAATAAAATATTAACAAAAATATGATGAGGGACTGGACCATGAATTATTCAAACTTTAAAGATTTAATTACAATTTTATAAATTATTCGGAATAAATTAAAAATTGATTGGAAAAATAAGGACCAAAAGGTATATGCTTTTGTTAGTTTATTCCCATACCATAAACTGAATGTAGTGGGAACTGGTTTTCTTGAATCTTATAACTTCAGAACTGTCTTGAGTTATACTTTCTCCCTCTGTACATCATGACTTGTTGGCTCTGGTTCATTTGAGCAGATATCTTCAGTAAGGGACATATCTAGAAGCACTGTGGATGAATTTTCAAGAAGCTCAGGTGATCGGCGACTTCTTAGATTAGGTCTCACAGATGGGCACTCTGATGTAACTGCCATAGAATATTCTCACATCCCACTTATACCTGATAATGTCGTTCCTGGGACCAAGGTACTGAAATTCTGTTTATACTTTCTTTTTCCTAGGAGATTCGACTTAGGAGAGAGGATGTGATTTAGCAACTATGTTTTGCTTTTTTTAGACATGTACGGGCTTAATTGGCTGGCTCCCCTAAACATATTGTGAATGTGAGTTAATGTGAGGGAATGATACAGTACAATAGGGCATGTGCTGGGATTATAATTCTAAGTATGTAGTCCGTTGTCGGGGTAATTCAATATTTTTGTCTGGGATTCTAAATGTTTGGCTACAGTCAATAACTTGAATTTTAAGAAACAAGATACTTGGCTGATAAAAGTTCTGATATTTGCCGTGGTAAATTGAGACTTACTTGATACTTTGTTAATGTGGAAAATTTTAGAATGGTTGTTCAATTTTATATGAAGTATGAAATTGTGAATGTTTTAGATTCAACTGTGGTAAACGGATTGAATCTGAAGTGTGACTTGCTTTTTATGATAAAAGCATGTATGGCGATTGAGAAATGCTCATGTTGGTTGGAATGAGTAGCTTGGATGTAGAAGAGGCAATAGCTCCTCCAGTTTTAGTGATGTTGTTGTTTAAGTCATTAGGGAGAGTATTGATGTTAAAGAAAGGTAGTTTGGTCTTTGGCACTTCTCTTTTTCTCAATGCTATGGGTGGAAGAATTACCCTTGTGGTAATTTACGTCTTTGGGGAGTATTGCTTGAATGATTGGTAGTTTTGCTTAGAACCAATGGAATGCCTGCGATTCTATAGACGCTCCTGCAAATTGATGGGCTATTGCTCTTTAAACCTGTTTACGTTACTTTGGCCTTCGGCCTTCCTTATTTATGAACATTTAATTAGATTTAATTTCCTATCAATCTCCTAGAATCATGGCAGATCTGGTTTCTTTTTTGAATTTTGAATTTGCTGATTTTCCTGATTCTCCTCTGATTATGTAATTATGGAGTGATCCTAGAATCTTCTAATAACCTAGGATTATTCCTATAAGTATTGTACACTGTCATTCGAATAAAGAAATCTTTTCTGGCATCAAATTGTTCAAAACCTCTAAAGTTCTTTTTGGATTTGTTGCTCTTTCAGTTTAAGGTGGGCAATTCTGCTTTATGGTTTGTAACTATGTGCTATAATGCAGTCATTATTTGGAAAAGCAAATATGAAATACTTGGTTTTGTCAAGTCACTAATTATTGCATTTGCATGACAATGGATAGTAGTAGTGATAAGATTCAGGTGAATATTGGTGTTTTGTGCTTTGAGCTCCATCATCAAGCTTCAAGTTGCTGATAGTTTTCATTTCTTTCTTGGGGAAGGTATCAACTGTGTTAAAATATCCTAGCAATGAGGCTTTGATACTAATTTGATGTGGACCCAATAGGAATTTGTCCTAGAAAGATACGAGGGAAAATAGAAAAAATGATGACTAATGGTCCAAATTAATATAAACATGCCACCTAATTAACAAAATCACATGCCTTGCATATGAAATAATTATTTATGTATATTGGGCTGAAATTAAACTAAAACAAAATTAAAATAAATAAGTGAAGGCTAATAAATCTAGGATTCTTCATATCAATTCATGCCACTTGTCTCTATTTAACAATCTTCTGTGCCACTTAACACTTAGTAATATTTCTCTATCCTTGACTTGTGCCTTAAAGAATTCTCTTGGACTATCCAAAAGCTGAATCCACCCTAGAATCCCATTGGTTGTTGCAACACGCATTTGGGCCTAAATATGAATGATTATGGCCCAATTTACCTCCTCAAATTGTATTCTTGTGTTTTGGGCCTAAATAGAGTGATTTAGGTTCAAAAAACACATTGTTCTATGGAATCTGAATCTCTGCTCTCAGGCTTTCCTCTACTTGGATGACATGGCATTGCGTGATTTGGCATTGGATGAATTGATGGTTTGGCATGCCACCTAGGACACCACATAGGATCACATCTTTCCTCTTGCTCTATAATTTGGTAATGAAGGTTTTCATTGCCAAATATTCTCTCTCTCTATTTTATGTGTTTGTTTGCTGTATGTACCCTTATTGTGTGCATGTTCTTGAATATTGTCACTTTAAATAATTGATATTGCCCTCACATTCTCTTTGACAGATTCGTTTGGAAGATAAAACTGTGATTCGTAGCGGTATAGTTTGTTTAAATTCTCAAGTGTTGACCATATTAGGAGGTGTTGTTCAATCGCTTTATGAGGAATGGCATATGAACAAAAAGTATTCAGGATTCTCTCGATCATCTTTAAGGAAGCTAGATGAAAGTGATGCAGACCGACCTCCTCAATTTGTGAAGCTGCATGTTGGGTCTTCCTCAGGTCAATTTTGCTTGAAAGCTTGTTGGTTTTGTGCTCTTCCTTTTCTATGAGAGCAAAGCTAAAAGTATGATAAATTAAGGGAGACTTCCGCAAGGAAATTAACATGGTCAATCTGAGTTCAAACATAACAAGAAAATAAGAACATGAATCTCACGCTAGCCAACCTTAATAACCAAAAGCTTGGGAGAATCTCCAAATATGAATGCAAGATTTTGTATTTGAATCTAAGTAGCTTTTGAATTTGCTAGCCTATTTATGGAGCTTGAAATACATTGAAATAATTAAATAAATTCAGAAAAATCCCCTAAAATCTCTGAACAGACAGCAGCAACCAAAGAAATAACAGAATTGAATGTTGGGGACCTCATAACAAACATATTAGTCCCTTATTCTTTTGAAAAAACTCCTAAAATGTCACAAAGATAATTATACAGCAAAAACAGTGAGAAAAATATCTAATTCAGCCTTTGACATATTCTTCTTCTAAAATAAGCCTGCTATGGTCTTTTGACAGTAGTTCCCCAAGGAAACTCAAAAGAGGGAAATTGGGTTTGCAAAAGGTCATTCTTCTCAACAAGCTTCCTCAGTTGGTCTGTTCTGCCGTTGACTAAGTAACTTGAAAGTGTCATATCTTGTCCGGTGATGTGCACAATTTGAAAGATGCTATGTTAAGAAGCTTATAAATGCTTACAATTCTTCACAAATCCATAACACCGGCATCTAGCTTCCAGTCTCGCAGCTTTTGAAGATGGTCACTTGATGCTAGCCAAATGGAAAATTCAAGTAGATCAGAGTGTAGAGGGAAAAATCTGGGTTGTTTATGGCCCTTGCTCATCCTTTTGCAACTAAGAAAGTAGCTGCTATTTTTTGTGATGAATTTGTGCTCCAGCTTGGTATGCCATGATCTGTTGTCTCTAATAGAGATTCTTTGTCAATGAGTGCACTTGGGCAAGAATTATTTAAATTAAGCCAAACTCAATCAAAGATGAGTTTGGCTTACCATCCACAGATGGATGGCCAAACCGAAGTGGTGAATAGGTGTCTTGGAGCTTGCAATGTTTTGCTCATGCACAACCACAATTATGTCATAAAGTTTCCTTGCTGGGCTGAATATTCCAATGATACTGGTGGTCATGCTTCTACAAATTCTTCTCCTTTCAAAAACTTATGGGCGTGACCGATCACCTTTATCTCCTTATGTGAAAGGTGAAACACTCATTGCTGACTTAGAAGAGGAATTGGAGGCTAGATATGCTATGCTCATGCTACTTAAGGAGAGACGAATGAAAACCTATACTAATCAACATAGAAGAGAACTCGAATTTTTAAGAGGGTGATGTTGTGTGGTTATGTGTGAAACCTTTTTGTCAGAAATAACTCTGAAAGGAAGCATGAGAAGCTGTCTCCAAGGTTTTTTGGCCCTTACAAAATTCTATGGAGGATCAGACAGGATGCATATAAACTGGGATCTAGCTCCAGTCTCTAAAATTCTATCTTCCATATTTCACTCCTCCACCTTGCTTATGGACAGCAACCCACTTCTCCACCTGCGTCTCTCCCTCTTTCTGCAGCTTTTGAATTGCATTTGGATCCTGCACAGGGTCTGTCTCATCGCTGGACAAGACAAGACACTCTCATGCTATTTCATGGCAAAACAGACCAATTGAGGAAGCAGAATCTCCGAATGAAAGAACTTTTATTTGAGTCTGAATAGTTTCTGAAGTTTATGGCCTATTTATAGAGGTGAAAATGCATTAAATAATCAAATAAATTCAGAAAAAAAAATGTCAAATCTCTGGACAAAATGCGACAACCAAAGAAATGGCAGAATTGAACGTTGAGGACCTCAGAACGGTCATAATGGTTATTCTACTCAACAGACTCCTTAAATGTCTCAAATAATTATTCAGCAAAACAGTCAGAAAAATATCTAATTCAGCCTTTGACGTATTCTTCTTCTAAACTAAGTTTGAAATGGTCTCTTAAAACATTGCCTATGCTTGGATAAGGTATTGAGTATGATAATCTGGGAAGTTCTCTACTTGATGATACAAGTTTGCTTCGGGTCTAATACTGGAACCCAGGATTGAGGACTGATAACTTGGACATTTTGCACTCTATGAAAAAGTTGGTATAAAAAACCATTGTGGCAACTACTCTTTGGTGTCGGAAGTGATTCTTAGTTAATTGATTGTTTTATTCGTTTTTAAATGATTCTCTCTGGAATATTCTCCATTAGAGTGTACACCTTTTGCTGTTTTGCAAATGATGATGGGCCTGCTATGATGCTATCAGCATCTTAACTGCACTTATGTATTATTATTTTTATCTTTTATTGCTTTTTTGTTATTAGTCATTGTTCTCCATGATTAACAATTATGATTATTATCAGCACTCAATTAGAACATTGGTAAAGATGTTCCAGTTTGCTATTAACTTATTTTTAAAATCCATTTGTTGTTACAATTCAAAGTCCGAATTATTATGGATGCCTTGTTGTACTGTAAAGCGACATTCCGGCACCTAATGGATTGCATGCACTTTAAAACACATGAATAGCTGGATAGAGGTGACACGGAATGTGATCTCCTGCAGGATATGGAGATTCTAACTTTAGAACCAGTAAGCCTATTCCTGTGGCTGGCAAAACTGGGATGGGGTCAGTTGGTAGCCAGCAATACCCTAGTCAGAGATCAGATAGCGTGGATGTAAATCAGAAATCTAGATTGCCTCCAAAAACAGATGAAGAAAAGCCTAGCAGTTCAGGGACAAGACCAAAAGAAGGTGCTGCTTTTCTCTTGTTTTTCTTCATGATTAGAGGAGGGGTATATACGAGAGAAATGAGCATCAATATTAATGGTTCATAATGACTAATTATAACAGAATAATATCTGGTTCTATATTAGTGATATAGATTATATGCTATTTACATTAATGAGATAATATTTTAACACCTGTCATTCTTTTCACTGAATTACTTTCTATAGTTTGCCAGTCTTAAGACTTATCTGGAGTTGATATCATTAACTATTGTTCCTCTGTTGCTCATGCTTATGATGAACTGAAAGAAGATTGTCTACATAATATAGTTCATATGTTATTAATTGATGGGGTTGCAGTTTAAAAATCCCCGAGGAAAGGTGTTGAAAGCAGCTTTGCAAAAAGGCAGTTTGTGGATGGGGTTGCAGATGGGTATTAAATCCATCCAATGCTCCTATTGCCCCATAAATGTTATTTAATTTGTAATTGATGTACTGTTATTATTGATTGAGAATAATTGTTACAGTTAATATATTTTTGCTGTGCAAAGCAAATATGGACATACGAGATAATTTGGACCAAGGAGAATCCAGCAAAGAATTGTCATTCGATCATAGAAAAACGGAGAACGCATTCTTCTCTTAGAGAGGAATCTTGTGGCACTACTACACTTTGAGATAAGAGGGAAAATATACAATATTCTCCAGTATAACTTATTTAAGATATGCTTAATAAATGAATGAAAAAAATGCTTCTAACAAGAATGAATGGCAATCTTAAACGCTATGCAAAGATAAAGTGTAGTAGGGTGATAGGACTCAGCTGTATTATTTTCGAATAAGTAGGATTAAGCAGTACAACCGCCCCACTTTCACTGATTCCTGAGCACAACTTCCCCCTCCTGATGTAAGGAAGAGGAAATGTGATAAAATGGACTGATATTCCCAGCTTCTAACAAGAATGAATGGCAATCTTAAATGCTATACAGAGATAAAGTGTAGTAGGGTGATAGAACTCAGCTGTATTATTTTCGAACAAGTAGGATTAAGCAGTACTACCCCCCCTTCCTTCACTGATGTCAGGGAGACGTATCAGGCTCTCCCAGGCTATCCACATGATTCCTGTCTGCCTCTCCCTAGCACGTAACCTTAGAAAACTAACCCTGGGAGTTGTTGGGCTGGACGAGGGTGTATTTGGGCCCTTTTACTGTGATTGTGTTGGTCTGTTTAGGCTTTCTCCTACTGTATACTTCCACTTTTATAGTGTTGGGTCCATCACACAGTTTATTAGCATCATGCATTGTTGGGTAGATAGTTACAGGTGAATGAGATTTGAGTCCCTTGCAAGGGCATTATTCTTTGGTCTCTTGAATCTATGACCCTTTTGAGATCAACAACTATAATATACTTTAACAACTCCCTTTTTTTTTTTTTTGGGTTCCGGAGGGACTACAATGTTAATAATTCCCTTACAAAGATCCAAATTATTCAAGAGTTAATTTTAACCAATGCTGAGATGTGTTTTGCTGGTTCTTTCTTTAAATTTTATGAAATGCCAAAGGCTTACTAGCTATCTTATGTTGCAGGACTGCCTTCAATCCCGTTTCATTTTTATTATTGATTCAAATTATTGGAATCATATTCTTTAAATTATACAAAGTGCTAGAGGGTTGCTATCTAACTCAAGTTGTGGGATTGGCTTTGAACCTTTTTTTTTAAAAAAAATTTTTTTGTTTACTGATCCCTTTCTATCTTGATTATTGATTTTTGATATAATTCTTTTCCCCTATTGTAAGACGGTGATCTCATTCTTCTTTCATATAGTTGTGGAATCTGTTCCCATTCAAAATCAAGCAGCTGCCCAGAAATTACTTCAGAAACTGGGTCAACCAAATCAGGAGCATCAGCCCCGCAAGGGTCGGAAACATAGGAGCAAGGAGAAGCGAGAAGATCCGGCTGTCTTTACGCTGGAAGAATATGAAAACAGAAAACTCCAGGCAAAGCATCCTATGACACAGGCGATTCATGATACTAGTCAAGATGAAAATCTTGCTTGGCAGCTCCAGAATCAATTAAACGTGGAGGATTCTCAGGTGAGCATCTTACTTCCCCCAATTTTGTTACATTATCTTGTACAGTATTTCCTTCACTTTCTTCTCTGCAATTTCGCTATTCTTCCATTGTCCATTGTGCAACTTGTTTAGGTACAGAGGGGTTATCATCATGAATCTAGGGCAGAAGATATTAGAATGAGTATGTTCAATTATGAAAGCCATGACAGCAGCCATGACATGGGATATGGAGGAGGACGGGGAAGGGGAGGGGGAAGAGGAAGGGGAAGGGGAAGGGGACGCGGTGGTGGAGGTAAGGGAAGGGGACGGTGAAGGTCTGATTGCCCATGTTGCTCTCTTCTTGTATCTCTTTCAATCCCCTGTTGTTGTTGTTGTTTTTTTTTTTTTTGGGACTGATTTTTGAACCTGTGCTTGCCTTTCGCTGGCCGTGCAAAGCATGTGAATTTAAATGGAATGGAATGAAACAGAATGGGAAATACAGTAATTAGTGAATGACTATTTTACACCTTCCCAAACAGATGGGGACTGGGTATCACATATTGAAACAATGCAAACTAACCAAGAGAAATAGAAGAGCAGAGGAGTTCGTATGGTTTTAATATGTTGATGTTAGAAAAAGGTATTAATTTAACTTTTGGTTAATATTTTTATATTTTTTTATGTCATACGTTTCCTGAAACAATTATTGGGAGAAGTCGAGAATAGGGATCATAAAAATTAAAATTATTTAAAAGGATCAAATATTCAAGCATAAATTTAAAAATATCATATTGTCCTTATCTAAACCTTTTATATTTTATTTTTAACCCCAAAGTGAATTACCAATTTTTACCAAAGTAAATTTGATTTCTCTCAAGGTTTACAACCTTCTTAAAAAATCAATTTAAAAAATATGCAAACATTGTTCATTCATGTGAAAAGTAAAGTTTTTTTTATATAAAAAATTAAAATTTTCTTTTCAAAACCGACACAGATTTCAATTGAAAGTAAAAGTTATATACTTTTATTAAAATTTAAATTATTATATAATGTTTGTATAATTTTTTATTTAATAAGAAATTTATATCAAATTTAAAAATGAAAAAATTCATGTAATGTTAAGAAATTTAAAGAATTCACATTTATTTGTTTATTTTTGTTAAAGTATAGGTATCCTCCTATTTAAGGTAATCTTATTCGAGGTATTGTCAGATATTAAATGTAGGCATTTTTCTTAGCGAAGATTTGAATCTTAGTTCACCACGTTGTGAGGGACTAGTTATTTCTATTAGACTCAACTCTTGTTGGTAATTCACATAATTTATTATAATCTCATAAGACCCCTCCTTAAAATCATTTAACAAGAGCCGCATAATTATATAATAAAAAAAGTTCATGTATTGTTAAAAAAATTTAAAGAAATAATTTTCTTTGAATTTTTTAAAATTGTTTATGTAATAATCTAGATTTGAATAAAATTATATAATTTTTATTTTCAAATAAAGTCTGTGATGGTTTTGAAATTTTTTTAAATTTTTTATATAGAAAATAAAACTTTAATTTTTACATGACTGAACAATGTTTGTGCATTTTTAAATTAATTTTTAGGTAGGTTGTAAATTTTGAAAGAAAATATGTTTAATTTACTGATTAATTAATTCACATTAGTTTTAAAAATAAAATTTAGGATGAAATATAGGAGAACATGTAGGAGGTTTGAATAGGAACAATATAGTGTTTATAACTTTATATTTGAATATTTGTTCCTTTTAAATAATTTTGATTTTCATGATTCTTTTTCATAATAAATGAGATTTTTCTCGAATTTAAATCATGCTGGATCATTTCATTGTCTGATCATGTATGCAAGTCTGGATTTCATGTGCACACATGTGATCGACATGTGAAATATCAGATTTTTTTCCTCATCTAATTAATAATTGGTCCATATTAATAATCTTTATTTCTTACTAACTTTAGTCCTTATTATAGATTAAATCTCATATTAAGGACTGAAAATACTAATTGTTTTTTTTTGGTTATAACAGAAGCAAGAAAAGAACTAAACTACTATCCGATGTGGAAACTCAGTTTCGACTAGATCTTCTTGGAGTATCTCTTCAATTTCCTTTGGTGGTGTCGTCCACACTATTTTCCCCGTCCTCGTTTGTTTGCTCATTGAGGCTAGCTTATCAGCACATCTGTTACTCTCTTTGTAGATATGACTAAACCGTAGTTGCCAGTCACGACTAAGCAGGTCCCTTAGCTTGAGAGTAATCAATTGTTTCCCTTGTATCAAGCTTCCCCTTTTAATATCTTCCACGATCTGTTTTGCATCACACTCTACCTCTATTTTCTGAAAGTTGCGACTCCAGTATAGTCTCAAACCTTCTATTATACCCCAAACTTTGGTTCTTTCTACATCTCGGACATCTAGCTTCCTAGCAAATCCACCTAACCATTCTGCACAACTTCCTCTGATTACTCCTTCGCACCGAGCTCTGCCTCATCTGTCTTTGGTACCGTCTACATTTAGCTTGCACCAATCCTCACTAGGTGGTTTCCATCCTACCCTGATCACTCTTTCCTGTTCACTTGGTTGTTCTAGCGTCCATCTTTGGTTGCAATTTTTCAGATATTGTTCCACTATTGTCGGTGGGTTCCATGGTAGCTTCCAGTCTTTGTTGTGTACCTGAAGGTTTCTCCACTTCCAGAGATGCCAGCACCCAATTGCAAATAACTCTAGCCAAAATATCTCGTCCTTCTCCTTCCTGCTCTTCCTTAGATTTTGATCTAGCCAATACCAGTTCACCATCTTCTTCCACATATTTCTAGCCACTCTACAATCCCTCAACACGTGTATGTGAGTTTCATCTTCCAATTGACATACTAGGCAATAACCTTGACCTCCATCCCAACGCCTAGTAACTTGTTTGGTAGGGAGGCTCTTGTGTCTTGTCTGCCACATAAATAGTTTGATTCTTTCTGGTATTTTTAATTTCCATATTGTTCCCCAAGTTGTCGGACTCATAACATCTTCTCTCCAATGCAGCCATTTGTACGCAGAGGCGGTGGTAAACTCTCCATCTTTAGTCCATTTCCATCTTACCGTATCTTCTCCTGCCTGCTCCTGTGGAGGCAGTAACTGTCTGATTCTTTCTAGCATATCTCTTGGAATTTTTCCTTCCAAGGCAACCAGGTTCCATTTGCCTTCCTCATTGGTGAGATTATTTGCTTTCAGGTTTCTATCAGCTGAGTCTTCATGCAACCTAAATCTTTGCAGCGGCTCCTCCTCATCACACCATTGGTCTCTCCACACGTCAGTGTTCCTACCCTTCTTGACTTCCTTTCTAACATTGAGTATGTATTTTTCTCTGCTCTTAACGAATGCTTTCTATAGTATTGAATCAGTGCTCCTGGCAATTATTTTTGTTTCTCCTTCATTGTTGCATATGTGGTATTTTCCCATCAACACTTGCACCCATAAATCCTCTGGTTTCTTTTGTATTCTCCATAGCAACTTCATTAAAAAAGCCTCATTCATTGTTTCCAACTGTTTCATTCCCATTCCTCCTTCCTCCTTAGCCTTGCATAAAGTATCCCATGCTATGGCATGCCATCTTCTCCTACCATCTTGCTCACCGCAAATGAATTTACGCTGCTCCCTTTCTAATTTGTCTACTATCCCTTTTGGTATTTTATCATGTTGCATTGTGTAGAAAGGGATTGTACTTGTTACAGTTTTGGCCAAAGTCATTCTTCCTGCTAATGATAAGCTCGCCTCCTTCCACCCACTTAGCCTCTTCTGCACTTTTTCAATCACTTTCCTATACTTCTCCGACCTTTTTCTTGGAAATGAAATTTCTGCCCCAAGGTATCTTCCGATGTCCTCCATGTTGGAAATTGTGCCCTAGGGGCCAATCATTTTGCTATGAACATTGTTGATTTATGAATTTATTAATTACGTTATCATATTATTTGCATGTTTACTGTGATGACTATCCTTAGATAACTCATGGTTTATCCTAAATGTCCATGGTCGGTCATCTATGTGGGAGCAAAGATGAAATAAGACCAGTATGACTTTAAAGATATATAGAGATATAAATTAAAGTCATAGGCACATGTAAGAGTACAAGGTATTGGACCGACCCGCTATGAGAGAGCTGTATGGGTTAAGTCATAAGCTTCTCTCATAGACAAACCATGTCACTGTGCCCTTTGACCTGAGATCATCATGGATTCCTACATGAGAAACGCTTAGCTTTGACCTAGTCAAAAGTCACTTTTGACCGAGTGACCATAAAGACTATGTTCAGGCTTAGTGGTTTTTCATGCGGAGGAATGTGAATGGTCAAGATGGAATTTGTCCCTCACATTCGTTGAGAGACATTACTGGCCCCTCGATGAGTGAGTCTGAGAAATGTATGGCCATACTATAATGGAAAGGTAGTTCCGTTTCTATACTCAGACTACTCAGGGATCGAGAAAGTAACGGTCATGAATAGGAGGATGACGTTCTCCATGCCTCATCCATGACCAAAATGTCGTGTGACAAAAGGCACGTGATATGGTTGTATGAAAGGTTGCATCGTTCAATGATCCTCATATGTTTTGGGTAGTCGTGATGTCTTGCTAGAGACCGCTTACGACTTGTGAGTCATTATAGTTAATGGCCCACTGCCAACTTCATATGGGCCTACAGGGTCGCACACAAAATAGCCCAACGCGAGTTATGATGTCCAGATTCATTGAATCTAAGATATGTCCAGATTTAATGAATAATATAGGGTGGATGTGTATATATATATATATTATATAAATATAAGAGATATTAATTGTTAGATTTAATTTATAAGGATAAATTAGATCTATGTAAATTAATTCCGTCATATCTTTATTTTTGAATTAAATAAATAGTGAATTAAATCTGTGAGACGGATTTAATATAAACCATATTTATTTAATTGTTCTCTTATCTGATTAGGCAATATTTGATATTGTATTAATTTCGAAATTAATTTAGGATTAATTTCGAAATTAAGTATCATTCATTAAACCTATAGCATCCTATATATTAGATATGAGGAGCTAGGGTTTTAGAGTGAGAGTGAAAGCACTAAGCAGATAAGGGACGGCCAAAAGTGAGAAGAGAGGACGGATTTTTGAAAACCCTAGACGAACATAGACGCTAGCACGTCGTTCGAGATTAAGGGCTACTCGTGTGGATACCGGTAGAGGAAGCTGACCGGAGTTGTCGACTTCGAACGACAAAGGAGGCGAGCAGAGGAATCCTGAACGGCGGAATCACCGAGCCACCAGGAAATCGAACACCGAAGGTAATGCTTCTTACTACCTGACTTAAACGCGATCGGTAGATTCGGGCAAGGGATTGAAAGTTTTAAAATTTCAAGTTGATTTCCGCTGCACGTCGTCTTTCAATTCCTTCACTCCACCTATCTAAATTGACTCCTTCTGCATATCTCTCTCCTAATTTGTTGCTTGACATTCTGAGAGAAGTAGATTTGTGTCTTTT